AGAAAAGCGAGGGGTAGATGGAGCAGGTGACTCAGAGAACCCCGCAGAGGCAGAAGCATCAGTGTAATGAGACTAATGCTCGGAAGCAGCAGCAGCAGTGTGATGAGACTGATTCCCGGAAGCAGCAGCAGCAGTGTGATGAGACTGATTCCCGGAACGATGAAAGTTTCCCCGGGAAGAGCCACCGCGAGAGGAGTGGCTATTGGAGGATGATCGGGAAGGATTGCGAAAACAATCCTGTTGCAGATGACCAGGACCAAGTTTGTTACAGTCGCGGCAGGATCTGACGGGGCAGTTGACCAGGAGATGGATTGAAGGAAGACCCCGACTCTGACAATAGAGGCAAGCAGTGGTCCGCTGGGTAAATGATGGCCGGGACGGAGAAGTGGCAAGAACAGAGTCCACATGATGAGTTTGAAGTGTACCGAGACGAGTCTCCTCTGATAGCAACTCAGAAATTGCTTGTTCAAGAGTGGGCAATGGATGGCGATGAAGCAGAGAGGCACGTACGGGCTCAAAAGAGGAAGTAAGAGCCATGAGAAAGTGCACCAATCTTTGCTGGTTGCGATAGATAGTAAATAAAACAGCATCTTCGTGGTTATGCCAAGTTGGTTCTGAAAGAGCAAGCTGATCCCAAACAGAGTACATTTGAGAAAGGAAGTCATTAATGGACTGAGTGGATTCTTGGCGCATGCGATGTTGTTGGTTCTGAAGTTGATATTGATGGGCAAGGCCAGTAGTCTGGTATCGTTCTTTCAAAAAATTCCATATGTCTTTTGCAGGAGTATTTACAGAGTCAAGCTGAAAGCGACCAAACTGAAGACTGAAAGAGGTAATAGAGGTATTACGAAACCAGGTAATGATTTGGTAATTCTTACTGTCCCATTCCTCAAGTCGGTCTTCATATGTAGCAGTATGAGCAGTAGTTTCAGTAGTGACACTGTCTTTTACCGGTTTAGTCACATCCCCGGTGACAATTCGCCAGAGCTTCTTGCCTTTGAGGAAGGAAGACATGGCTTGGGCCCACAGAACATAGTTTGAACCATTCAAAATAACGGAAATGGGATGGGAGGCATCAGGACGATCCATAATACTAGTTGAGTAGGGTTAAAGCAATAGGAATAGACCTGTAGGAGCAAAATTAGGTAAAATAGAGTGTACCAGTGAGTCCAGAAGGTCGAAAATAGCCAGGAAAGGTATGCTGGACAGAGATGATGTCAGCAATGATGGCAGCGGCACACGTTAGCAGAGTGCAGGGAGGAGCACGTTAGCAGGAAGGCGGCGGCGCACGGTAGCGGACAGGCGCAGGCGCAGTACACGGTAGCCGTTTTGGCGCACGCGGGTGCACTGTAGTGAAGCGGCGCACGAAAGGCGCACAGTAGCAGGCGCGGCGTACGGGAGTGGTAGGGCTGACGTCAGCCGCGGTTGTGTGGGCGCGTGGGGTCCCGTGGCGGAAGTGAGTAGCAACATATGGCGCGTGCGGGCGCGTGTGAGAGTGGTGGCGGAGGTGGTGACGCACAGAAGACAAAGGCGGCGCGTGTGGGCGCGTGGAGGGTGTTCTGAGAACGGGCTTGGTCCCGTTGGAATCGTGAGGAAATTCCGAGCGGTTTGATGTATGCCACTGTGTACGGGACTAAACACCAAAATTGAAAATTGCCAGAAATGTAACACTGCTCTGATACCATGAAACAATAATTTGAGAGAGTGATAGAGGATAGAGAGAGAGAGAAAGAGACACTGAATTATTCAGTTATTGTATGTCTTACAAGGAGATGTACACTCTCTTTTATAGAGAGGAAAAGATACATAGGGTGCCAATTAGCACCGAAAGCATAAAGCAAAGGGGGAACACTCATTATGAAAGCTAGACATAATGATACACTAACAATTATGACTAACACTACTAGATGTACATAATATACTAAAGATACTAACACTAATATACTAACATCACTAATATACAATAATATACTAACACTGAGGATTGGCACTGAATGTAATCACATTCCCTTTCCATGGCTCTTCACTAAGCTCTGAAATTAACAGCCCAAGAGCAACACAGACCTCCATTGGTTCCCGCATCCATACTCCCCGATACATCACACACGGCGATGCAGTTCCTCAGGTCAATGGGATTTTGGGTTCTCAACAATTTGTCATCTAAGTTCGCTGATGGAGGAAAATGAAGCCAAGTATGAAGCACAAATATATATAGAAGTTAATATTTGTGTATTGATGGGTTAGCTAAAGAAGCTATGGTGCAACAGGAAAGTTTTCAAGTGAATTCCTTTGCATCTCTTTCTATTACTACTGACTTCTTAGATGCTGATGCATGATAGCTGGGGGAATTGAATTCCCCTGTTTTTGATGTACTAATTCGGATATGGTTGTAAATTGTAATCATGTGTTAAAATTATATATATTTGGGCATATGTTGTCTTGATCTATCCGTGTCTCTTGTCACTACTCACCTCTTCACCTGAGTCTCTCTTAGCTTGATTTTGTGGTGGAGAGATGACTTGGACAAGGTAGGGGATCCGGATAGAGGATCGATCCTTGGTTGATCTCTTTTTAGTTTTTGACAAATTTTTGTAGATAATTAGTGTTATTACATGCTCAAAAAAAAAAAAAAAAACCTTTTTATTTGATTGGGTAGTACAGGGTGCTGGTTTCAATTCCATGATCCAGTTATACTTCAAACTTACAAGTATGAAAAAACTGTCACCAAAAATATCAAAGTATCAAGAAACTCAAATCTTTAAAATAATACCCAGTGTACAAGATATCTATTAAAGTGAGATTTAGGGAGGGCAACATTTACGAAGCCTTACTCCATTTTTGGATGATTTATAAAATAATCATAAAGAAACTGGATGATGTAATGAATTCAGGTGGTATTCTGGGTAGATATGTTCCTGAAAATTTGAACAGTTCCTTTTAGTGAAATGCAGCTTCTTCGAGAATATTGTATATTTGAAAAAAACACATTATTTTACATTAGCTTCCATTGATTTCAAGCAGGCCTCTGAACAAGTAGGTAGTGTTGTTCATAAGCAATTGAAATGGTTACATGGTTCTTGACCAATTGAACTCCAACAATCTCAACAATATGCATGACTATTTCATTTGCGATTAAAATCATATTCTGATTGATTAGTAAAAGAAATTATGGTGATGAAAAAAGGAACTATTGATTCATATGGTTGCCTCATTTTCTATATACCATTTACTTTTTTTGTTGCTTTATTGTATTGTTCTCTTTTTTAAGGTCTATGTATGACTTTCAGTTGTGAGAGATACTAAAAAGTGCAGAAAAAAAGACGAACTCTATTACCATAATATTCTAACTTGTCCCACATCGGTTGGATAGAAGACATTAATTACTCTTATAACCCTTCCCTCACTCAAACCAGCATGGTTGCCAAAAGTCAAAACATCAAAAACACAAGAATCTTGGCCCAGGCAACCTTTTGGTTTTTTTTTTTTTTTTTTTTTTCTTCATGTTTAAATTTCAGTGAGTTTGCTGCAATCATTCATTTGAAAACTCAAAGCATTTTTTTTTTAAAATTCAGTGAGTTTGCTGTAATCATTCATTTAGCATTCACATAAGCAAAAAATATGGACAACCGAGTCAAAATTGTTCTTCAAGTAATTTGCTTTTTGTTTTGTTTTTTTTGTTATTTTGTCTTTTAATCTCTAAAACTATATACATATATATTTTTAAAATTTTAAAATCTGTGTTATGTACAACTGATTCAAAATTGTTCTGCAAATAATTTGCATTTTATTTTTTGTCGTTTTATCTCTAAAACTATTTTTTAAAAATCTGTTGTGTATTGGTTACTACTAGGAGGAATAGGAAATAGGTATACATAATATGATAAATGGGATAAGCTGCTCATTATACCTCTTCATACTCATTTTATGGGTTTTAATTTTGGACTTGCACGGATGATCCGAAACATATATCTCGTAGACCCCACCTACAAGATAGACGATTTAAATTATCAATGCGGATCTGAATTAAAATGCATAAAAAGAATATGAAGAGATGAGATATAAGAGCATCTCCAAGGGGATAGTTAAACAAGGCTTATTAGGTATTTTAGCCAATGTAAGTCTAATTTTGAGCTCCAATGGGCTAGCTATTGGGCTAGCTACTTTATCATCTTATTTTTTTGGTGGCTACAATTGAAGAGCCCTAGAGGCTCTCCAAACAATTATGTATGTATATATTTTAGATTTTTGTATATTTATGTCTTGGATTTGGGATTTTATATATATTTTATATATATGTGTGTGTGTGTGTATGTAGCAATTTTATATGTTCTTTCAATTCTGTTTGATAAATTACGGAATAACTTATTTTATATTTTGTATTTTTTTTTCTCCTCATTCTACAAGTTTTGTATGTTTGTATGGGCAAATTTATTATTATTGCAAATTTATATTAGTAAAATATCAACAATTAGTATTTTTTTATTTTAAAAATTAATTAAATTAGTTTAAAGGGTGAATTACACTAATAGTCCCTATAATTTGGGGTTTGTGTCATTTTGATCCCTGATTTTTCAATTGTGACACATTTGACCCTAAATTTTGAATCTTGTTCCAAATAAGGACAATTGAAGATATCATTAGATTTTTCAAGGGAAAAATCGTCAATTTGATAAAAAATAAACTAATTTGACAAAAATAAATGTCAAACAAATATTTTTGAATTTTTAAAAATTATTTCTACCAACTAAAAATAAAATTATGTAAAATTGATAAATCTTTTAGACATTTATTTATTTTTTTACCAAATTAATTTTTATTATATGTTTGGATGATAATCATGTAAAATTAATTTTTAAAAATTAATCATGTAATTTTTATTAATTTTTATCACTTTTACATAATTTTATCATTGGTGGATAAAAATAATTTTTAAAAAAATTAAAATATTTTTTTGACATTTACTTTTGTCAAATTAGTTTATATTTTATTAAATTGTCGATTTTGCCCTTGAAATTAAACAATGGTATCTTCAATTGTCCTTATTTGGAACAAGATTCAAAATTCATGGTCAAATATATCACAATTAAAAAGTTAAGGACCAAAGTGACACGAGTCCCAAACTATAGGGATTGTTAGTGTAATTTGTCGTAGTTTAAATGATTAGCTAAAATAAATAGTGTGGTTGGAGAACACAATAACTAAAGTAATTAGGTAAAATAAAGAGTGTACTTTTTTTTTGTACTTTAACTAGTGAAAAGTAGAGAGTGTGGTTGGAGTTGCTCTAAAGAGGAACTTATTCCGTGACAAATATGAGAAGTAATCTGACTAATTTTAGTCAAGAAACAAATCACCAATCACCATAAAATCTTTTTGATGTTTTGTTATTCCATCTAAAAAAAACAAATCACCAATCACCATAAAATCAGCAACAAATCACCCAACAAATCTGTGATTAAGATCACAAAAAAAATACGAGAAGATTCCTTCCTCCTCTCCCAACAAATACATTATGTTTTCTTCTCTTCCCCCCCCCCAAAACTAAAAAAATAAAAAAAATAAATTTTTTTAAAAATGATGACCCAGTGATGCTGAAAAATGATTTGTGGGAACTTTTGGATTATCCAATAAGTCTATTATGTTTTTTGTACCAGTCTTTCTTTGTTTTCTCCTTTTTCCCCTCACAGTAAAATGATTTCATAAAAAAAAAAAATTGCAATTACAGAACAGACAAACAGGGAAAACATTACGAAAACTAAAAGCAAAGTAGAAATAAGTTACATACTGAAGTACTCATATTAGGAATAAATCAAATCAAACCAAACCAAGTCTCAAGTGTTGTCAAATAGGATCGGTTGTATGAATCTTTCTTCTCTACTCTTCGAGAGGCTTTTTTTATGTATTGACTGTCAGCTATCTAACACACAACCTTCCTCCTTTACCTGGACTTGGAATCGACGGAATTGTTAAGAAACGTGATGGAGTTACTCATATTATGAATAGAAACAAATTATACCAAAAAGAAAAGAAAAGTGATTACAAATATTGATGACAAACACATGGAAAGAACCAAGTCAAATAATAATGAAATTAAGACGCACGAAAAAAAAATAATCATTCTATCAGTGTGAATCATGAAGTGCAGGAAATTAAGGGTTTTATTTTATTAATGAATCTTAAAATCAAACCAGTGATTTTTTTTCTTGTGCTAAGTAAAAACTTGGATGGTAGGAAACAAATTTATGAATGAGATTGTAACAAATCACTCTCAAGTAAATGAAACTGCGCAATGACTGATCATCAAATGCAGACCCATTGTATTAGGGAGAAATTTCCAAAAACAAATGAAAAACAACAGGTTTCATTTTTAAATTTTAATTATGTGACACACTTGATCAAGTAGCCTTGCCACAAAGAAATAGTAATATATCATCCTACTCAAATTCACACCAGTGATTTGCTGAGACACAACTCAACTCAAGCAAAATGACACAGGCCAAAAAACTTGCTAAGTGCTTTTTTGATGGATCATGGACCTCCTAAGCTCATAGCAGAGTTGTCCCCACCACAATCAAACAAACAAGCCTGTGCAGTTAATCTTGAAGTTCATGTTATGATGATACATCTACAAGCTATGACAATTAGAGCGTTCAATTTGAAAGGTATTGAAATTGAAATTCATCAACCAAACTCCAACAATCCATCAGCAATTTGTGATCAATGAAAAGCAGAATACCAAACTGATTATCAGGGATCATTAAAATTCAAATTCCATAAATAAGCAGCCGTTCACCTCAAATTAAAATAAAAAGCCAGAGAGGTACACTTTGGATTCTTGAAAAGAAAAATGAACTATTTGACATACCACTCAGTCATATACAACTAGTTTCTGGTACTCTTCACCGGCAATGGCATGTTCCATCACCGTCTCTGGGTTGACAAGCCCGTCTTCTTTGAGGAATACGGTAACCATGTTTTTTGAATAGCCACTAACCAGTGCCACTCCACTCTGCTTGGCTGTCACCGGAGTAGCAAGGGAGTTCCTGAGGTTCCAAAACACAATTTCCGGTAACTTATTATACCCTTTCTCGCTAAACTTCCTCTGTATCACTTCATAATCTGTCTCCCACCCTTTTGGCCTTGTATCGTTATGTGAGTTGAAATTACCATATCCATTGTACCCATAGCCAAACCCATACCCATATCCAAATCTACTATGCCCAGATGCTTGATCAAATTCCATGTCACTGAAAACAAAGACCTTCTTTATCATCTGATCTTCATTCAAATTCCCAGCAACTGCAACTTCCAAGATCCTATCGAAAACTCTCTGGAAGTCAGTATTACTGCCCCATTCCATCTCCCTTACGAATTTAGTCTTTTCCAGAAGACTATTCCCTTCAACTTTGTGAAGCTGAGGATTGGCACTGAATGTAATCACATTCCCTTTCCATGGCTCTTCACTAAGCTCTGAAATTAACAGCCCAAGAGCAACACAGACCTCCATTGGTTCCCCATCCATACTCCCCGATACATCACACACGGCGATGCAGTTCCTCAGTCTCCCCATCTTTGCAACGTCATCCACCATTCTAGCCCACTGAAGCTCTGCAACTTTCCCCCCATCTGGGTCGTTCAGTGAGGCTACAATCTCGTGGGGAAGCAATGCACCGGCTGCTATTTTCGCCTTTCCAAGTTTTACATCCTCTAGATACCCATTAAATCGCTTGTTGTCACGCTGCAAGAAGATGTTCTTGTAGTTCTTCATCGCCACCGACGCAACCCGATTATAAGGAAGAGCCTTCCACTGTTGAGCGCTCATATAAACCTCGGGCAACTTCAAGACCTTGTGAAGAGGAACCAAAACTTGCTTTCGAAGTCGGTCTCTGACCCTGTAAACATAGTGAGCAGCTTCGATTGATTCATACTCAGGATCAGAATCACGAGGAAAAATCTTCCTCGCAATGCTTTCGCAAATCAGGGTGGCCTTGTCATATGCAGAGTCTATCGTGGGGCACCATTTAGCTGCCAAACTGATGTTCATAGTCTCTCCAGAATTCAAGTTCTGCATATCAGACTTCAAGAGATCGGCAAAGAGACTCGAAATCTGATCGTGCAAGAACTTGTAATCAGAGTCGCTATTGTACCTCTCGAAAGCTCTTTTGGCCATTGAAAACTCTTTCTCTTTCCTCAAAACCCTAGCTCTCTCTCTCTCCTCCTTCACTTTCGCTAAATTCGCTTCAACCCTCTTCTCTCTGGGTACTTTAGCCCTCAATCTCCTCTTTTTCTCGTCATCTTTCTTCTTCGTTCCTATTTGTCCTCGTTTCGGTCTCGAACTACGCTTCTTCGCCAAGTAGAACATTTTTCGAGTCCTTCCTGAACACTTCTTGTTTCTGTTCCATTCAATCTTGGCCGTCGATCGAACTTCAGGGCCTTCGAGGAGCCGATAAAGGATCTCGAGCAAGTCCTTCAAGTACCCAAACTGGGCGAAAACGGCGACGTTGCAGGCTAGGGTTTTGGGGTGGTGTTTGTGGAGCCAAAGCGCCGCCGTGTAGAAACTCTCTCTGTCGGACTTTCCGGTGCCTCGGACGCCTCGAAGGTGGCAGATGAGTTTGACGGCGGTGAGAGGGTTGTGGTTCCATGACAATGTGAGCCGTTGAATCAGCTGATCGGACGGTGTGGTGGGCACCACGTGGAAGAAGAAGTCGAGGCATGGGTTTCCGGTGGCGAGGTAGGTGAGGGAGCGGTTCTCGGTGAAGCCCATCCGTGGTGGCGTGGCGGGGAAGTGGAGATTGGTTTCCATCTCGCCGCCGCCTGCGGCGGAGGACTGTGGTAGATGGTTGATTTCCGGCGGGCCGCAGAGTCGGGAAGTAGACGCCATTTGAGTCGATATATTTACTTGCTTGCTTGGTTTGCGTGCTTTTAAAACGAAGGTTTACTTGGCCACCAAGGTGAGGTTCAAATCTCCTGCGGACTAGTACACTGTATGCATTTAATTAAATCTTGACACGTAATCGATATATGATATGAATTGACAAAAATATCCTTAGCACAAGAATCTAGTGGCTAGTTCTCTTGGCTGTAGAGTCCCGCACTTAAGTAAGGTCAAGTTTGACGTATTACAAAAAAAATTAAAAAGTCAAAAAATTATTTAAAAAATTAATACTATTCATCAAAAGTCAATAATTACGGCTGAACAATTTTCAATTCTAATTTTTCTCTACAAATCAATTTTTACAATTTTTTATTACACATTTTTTTTCATAAAAAGTCAAAAAATTAATCCAAATATTTATATTTTCTTCCTCAATTTTTTAGTTCAAAAAGTTAAAAAAATACACTTATTTAGGACACCCCAAACAACTTCTAAATATCGGCTTGCTCGGCACTCAAATAGTTATAATTTATTTATTTTTAATTTTTATTTACCATTTACCATTTATCATTTTCTTTTTATTTATATTTCTCATCTACATTTTAAAATAAATCTTTTATTTCAGTTACAATTTCTTCTCCGGGAAGATTGCAGTTTCATTACAATCAATGGTATTATCAGTTATTTCCAGCAAGTATTATTGAGAATCGTTGAAGAATCGTTGAACATGATTAAAATGATTTGTCTGCATTTACATCAAATTCCCTTTTCACATTGTGAAATCCTCTCATTTTCTTCTTTTTGATTACTTTTTTTTTATAATTTTTTTTTTAAATTTTTTTTATGCAATGTTTGGATATTGTGGGTATGTTTGGTTTGAGTTTGGGAGATGAGTTTTAGAGATAAAAAGTACGAAAAGTTGTTTGGTTTGGTTTTTTTCAAAAGATGTTTTGAAAAATTATTTTGAGAGAGAGTTTTGAAAAAAGTGATTGATTTAGGCTTCGTTTGGGAAGCCATGGTTTGGGTTTTTTTTTGCTATTTTAGCCACAAAAAACAAAATAGGTTATTTTAGCCATAACAAACAAAATATCACATCCAACCCATAATCATTACATTCTTCTCTTACAAAAAAACTCAAAAAAGTCAAAAAATCCTTCCCAAACCAAACTTTTAAGCCCAGGCTAAAATAGTCAAAAAAGCCAAAAAGTCAAAAAGCCAACCCACTTCCCAAACGGAGGCTTAATGTGTATGAAAGATTTATTTATTTGGAAAACTTGTAAACCAAACAAGTTTTGGAAAATTTTTTTGAAAAAATTTGTTTAGTATAAATACTTTTAAAAACTTATTTATAGAAAAAAAATTTCAAAAATTTTTAGAAAGCACAAACCAAACAAGGCCTGTATTTGTCCAGGATAACGAAAATGAAAAGTAGGGAGAAGGAAATGAATGCATGAAAAAGTTAAATTTTGTTTGGTTGAACCTTTTGTACCAAATGGCTCCTTAACTGGAATTAATTTTTTTATTGCAGTTTCAAACTTTTTTGGACAAATTACGCTAATAGTTTTTATAGTTTGGGACTCGTATCATTTTGATCATTGATTTTTTAATTGTGACACATTTGAGCTTGAATTTTAAATCTTATTCCAAATGAGGACAATTGAAGATAACATTATTTAATTTCAAGGGCAAAATTATTACTTTAATAAAATATAAACTAATTTAATAAAAATAAATGTCAAAAAAATATTTTTAATTTTTTTAAATATCATTTTTATCTACTAATGATAAAATTATGTAAAATTTAATAAAAATTACATGATTAATTTTTAAAATTTAATTTTACATAATCAACATCCAAACACATAATAAAAATTAATTTGGTAAAAAAAATAAATAAATGTCTAAAAAATTTATCAATTTTACATAATTTTATTTTTAGTGTGTATAAATAATTTTTAAAAATTCCAAAATATTTGTTTGACATTTATTTTTGTCAAATTAGTTTATATTTTATCAAATTGACGATTTTACTCTTAAAAAATCTAATGATATCTTTAATTGTCCTTATTTGGAACAAGATTCAAAATTCATGGTCAAATGTCTCACAATTGAAAGGTCAGGGATCAAAATGACACAAGTTCCAAACTATAAGGACTATTAGTGTAATTTACCCAACTTCTTAAATTTCATTGATTGTGGGCATTTAGTTCTTCTTTATATTTATTTCGATTTGTACCGGATATAATCAAAGTGAATTCATAGTTCTTCTTTGGTTAGTAATTTCGCTAAGTGTAAAAAAATAGTTAGAGTAGAAAAGAGTAGATGAAGGGAATTATTTATGGGTCACTAGGACTTTACAAATTACACCAAAAAATAATATCCATTAAACTAGAGAAAATGAAAAGTCTCCAAAAATTAACTCACTACCAAGTCCATGAACTTCTAATTAATCTTCATTCATGAACAAAGGTCACCAAAAAATAATGAATTTCCATTCATCAAACAAAGTAAGATTCATGAACAAAACCAAAAAATTCACAAAAATAAATAAATAAATAAAAGATATTAAAATAGTCCAACAATTACCCACTCATTTTAATATCAATAAGGACAAAAGAGATTACCTAACAAAAATAGACTAGTATGCATCATGAAGGTGTATTTTGCATTGAACTTTCATTAGTGAAACAACAACTTCTACTCCAGAGTTAATAGTGGTCTGAGACTTAAACTATGACTATTTAGGGGAAATAAAGTATTACTACTCACACATAATAATTCAGGTGTTGACATGAATTTTTAATAGCCAGCACATTACGACCTTGTGCTAATCCCAGTTTTCATTAGCATATTTGAGAATAAGTCTTGTTCTCATAGAAAATAGCCCCACTTCCGTGCTCACATAGGTGAAATCTATTAAGGATGTTCTTGTAATTTACACACCCCACTCAACAAGAGCTACAAAATTTCATTAAGAGTATAAAAACTCAATCCTCCAATATTACACGACAAATGCACTTACATAATAGAGATGGACAACAAAATATTAAGGAGTGCATTTTTTATAACCACCATATGATTCGTTTTTCCCATTGAACCTAGTTACTGGATCTTTGGTCCCTAGGTTGGGTGTCCTCATAAATGGTTTATGATTTTATAGGCTTCAAACCCATCCCTCGCGATGTATTCCAGACTCTATCTCTCATCAAGGCCTTGGTTAACGGATCCACAAGATTATCACAAGATTTTACATAATTCACAGTTATGATGCCATTACTCAAATAGAATCTCACATTACTCTGTTTCCATCAAATATGTCTAGATTTACTATTATAAAAATGATTGTTTACTCTACCAATAGCAGCAGTGCTATCACAACGAATTAACATAGGAGGAATTGGTTTTTTCCAAAAATGGATTTTATGTAACAATCTCTCAACCAATTTGCTTTCTCACATGCTGAAGCTAACGCTATGAGTTCAGCTTCCATAGTAGAATTAGCAATTATAGTCTGTTTTTTAGACTTCCAACATATAGCACCACTACCCAAGGTAAAAATAAAACCTGATTTAGAGAGAGAATCACCTGACAAAGTATTCCAATCAGCATCACTATATCCTTAAAATACTGTTGGATACTTGTTATAAAACAAATCATAATTTTTGATACCAGATAAATATCTCATAATTCTTCTCATGGCTAGCCAATGGTCTCGACTTGGCTTGCTAGTAAATCTATGCAATGCCAGGTCTAATAAAATCAGTAGCATATCTCAAACTACCAATCATGCTAGCATATTCCTTTTGATTAATCACTTCTTTTTCATTTGTTACAACAGATAAATGTATGCTTGCATCAAAAGGAGTAGCAATATGTTTACAGTTTAGAAAAATTATATTTCTTTAAAATTTTCGCAATATAATGTGACTGATCAAGAAAAATGCCATATTTAGTCTTGGTAATTTTAATTCCCAAAACAAAATTGGCTTCACCAAGATCTATCATATTAAAGTAGCTATTAAGTATATTTTTAGTCTCATTTATAATATAATATGCAAATTAGAGCCAAAGATAAGTATATCATCCACATATAGGCTAATAATCACATGTGTATTCACATTCATAATATATGCACTTATCACATTCATTAGTCTTATAGCCATTCTCAAGCATGCAGGAACAGTTTAGGAGCTTGTTTTAAACCATAAAGGGATTTAGTTAGTTTACACACCTTGCTTTCTTGGTCAGGCTCTACAAAGCCCTCGGGTTAGTCTATGTAAATCTCCTCATCTAAATCTCTATTTAAAAATGTTGTTTTCACATCCATTTAATGAATTTTTAAATTATGAATTATAGCCACTGTTATCAATAGTCTATTGGATGTAACTCTAGTAACCGGAGAAAAAGTATAAAAGAAATCAAGATCAACTTGTTACTTAAAGCCTTTAGCGACAAGCCTCACTTTATATTTATCTATAATTCTATCCAGTTTAAGTTTTTTTACGAATGACCCATTTACACCCAATAATTTTACAACCTGCAGGTAAATCCACTAACTTCCATGTTTTATTTGGAAGTAATGAATCTATCTTATCGTTGATAGCCTCTATGTAGAAAATAACATTAGGTGATGATAAAGCTTTTTGCACCGTAAGAGGAATTTCTTCCACATTGTAAAGATAATAGTCAGGGCCAAAATCTTTTTCAACTCTCGCTCGTTTACTCCTCCTTGGTTAGATTTTAGAATTTTCTTGTTCTTGAAAAACTTGAGATGGAGTAGAAGAGTTAGGCATGGATAAAATATTTTTAGAAATTATTTTACCTCCACTATTTCCAGATTTGAAAGGAGATTTATTTTCATGAAAAATAGCGTCACTTGATTCAAAAATAATTTTCTTTTCCATATATGCAACGCACACCCAAGAAAAGCATAAGTGGTAGCTCGTTCACCCAATTTAAGTCGTTTAGGATCTGCAGCCTCACAAAAGGTAAACAACCCC